AAATCTGTATTTTCTAGAGAGGGTTTGCTTATTTCAGTTTTAATTAGTCTATCTAGTGTTTTACACATTTGCCTCACACGTAAAGGTTTCCCTGTTTAATCCCAGCAAGAGGCATCTGCTGTTAATATCCAACATGCAGAGCGACCTGCTGCGATGAGCACTTGTGAATAACGGAGCTGCTGAAAACAGCTTTCAGTTTCTTTATTTTCCGTCACACAAATCCTAGTGTTAATGTCATAACAAGTATGGCCAATGTTTCAAATAATGACATGAGAAAATGTGTAAGTAACCCCAGTGAGCCACAAGATCAGCTTTCAGACTGCTTCAAACAATCTTACTTTGGGTCACTGTGATGCCACTGAGAGCAGTTACCTGATGTGGTCATGTGAGGCACACAGCACTGGCTGTCAGCACAGAAGCCCCGCCCACCTGATGCTCAAACCTTCTGCTTTACAAGAGCAAGCCAATCATTAGAGTTGGATTATAAGGAGGGTGGTCATAAAGGATGAGGCTGCACCAATGCCCAATACGAATAGTAATCAATAAAAATTGAATTGTGAATCATCTGAAGCTACTCTACTCGAGTCCTAGAAAAAATCTAGGGATCTGGAAATGACCAAAAGAGGTCGAGTTAAAAAAAGACAACAGTTTGAAGATGTACTCAACCAATGTACCTGAGATATAGTAACACAACCGACTGAAGCTTATGTCCACACTGTGTGAGAGGCAGCCTTTGAAACCTACACCCACCTATCTTGTGAAAGTACCACTGCATAAAGATCTTTGCAGACTATGACTGTTATGTATGAACCAAGAGTATTGTGTGCTATGCAAGCCATCGCCAGTAGGGGGCATCACGCCCAGTTATGGTGTGTGTTACTACTGTGTTTTCCAATAAAAAGAAGAAGTCAACTTGTAAGCAACGATTGTATGTACAGTGTGACTATATGAGCTCCAATAGTGTACTGACACCACAGTGGGAATATAACAATGACATTTGCCTCTCTGTACCAACACCAGTTCTCAGAGGAGTACACCTCGTACTGTAGTTACATCAAACTTAGCAAGTGTTGAAATTAACTCTCTGCAACACATAAAATGTAATATTGATTTTTCTGAGTGTTTTTCTGTTATTAGTCTGAAAACTTTTAGGCATAAAAAAACAAATCCCCACTTTTTACAAATGCTTTAATATCAGTTAAATTAGAGGCTTTATTATGACCTTACTAAACTACAATAATCATAATCATGATCACACACACAAAGAGAGTCTTCACATGACTACAGCATAACCTAATATACTTCCTGACACAGGAGTTAAAACAATAGACTCGTATGTACTTACCTAAACCTTTACAGGCTTTTCGAATAGCTTTTATATCTGCTGTAACATCAAAGTCCTCACATGGGACTATAGTGGGCTGGAGAACACACAATCGCAGAAAATATTGAATATCCTTAGTAATACATTCAAACAGTTCATTCAAAGCAGCCACAACAGGTAAAGCAAATCAATCAATCAATAAGACTGACTCATAATGTTACATTAGAAAAGTGCCGGCATTTAACTACAACTGTAACCTTGTCCACGTAGATGAAAGGGTGATGTCGTTGAAAGGGTGAGGTCGTTGAAAGGAGTTAATATGGTGTTACATTCAGGCTCCTGCGGAGAAAAGGGTGCTGCCTGTGTGTGATCGCTGAGTCATGGGGCAGCAGCAGCAGCAGCCTCCTCTCCTCGCCCACCCTTGGTCTAATACAATGCGGCCTTATTGATCTGATCTTACAGAAATGCCTTTTTCCCT